ACTTCAATATCATCATGTGTTATTGTAACATCCATCATTTTTGCAATTTCAATGGCATGCATTTAATATAATACCTAAAAATATAGCAATCTATATCTAAATTATATTAATATTTCCTAACTTAATACAGTAGTATCTATTCCGGTGAAAGAATACTTTTAAAAAAATTGTTTAATCTAATTTTTTGATTAAATATCTTTTAAATCAATTAAATTTCTGAATAAAAAATGTTCTGTCTTTTAATTTAATATATTATCACTTTTAACAAATGACTATCAATCAGTTTATCGAATTATCTAATTAATTTGAACGTAATCTATAATTCATTAGTACTTATCAATTAATTGAAAGAGTATATATGAGCTGGGAACGACGATAAGTGATAAGAAAAAAGTTAGTTTAAAAAATATAACAAAATATACCATTAAAAAAATGGCAGAAGCATTATCAGATGATGATATTGTACCAACTTACAGAGAAGAAGCAACGGATGACGATGGTGATGCTAGTGATATTATTAGCTCAGCTAAGAAGATGAGAGCATCCGGCTTATTATATGAAAACGTGAAAGTCTTCTCTGATGGCAAATGTGCTGAAGAGGCGGCTGTTAAATATAATAATTTCACATGGACTTGCTGTAAAATTAATGATACAGAGCAAGGAACCAAAAAAATATTATAAATGCAGCTTTAAACGTGGTTCAAATTGTCCAGCAAAAATTTATTTATTATTTCATGCAAGCAACTTTGAAGTAACATTATTTCAAGCAATTATCCAGCATGATCATACAACAGAAAGCAAACAAACTGGTATTCCAATTGAAGTAAAAAATGTTATTATTGAATTATTTCAAAATGGATGCACTACACCAAAAGCTATTTTATCTGAACTTGATAAATTGAAAATAATACAACCAAAGGTATCGCAAATTTCAAGCTTTTTGGTAGCTCTTCGCAAGAAATTATATGGTCCAGCTCAAATTAATTTAAATTATATTAAAAAGTGGTGTATTGAAAAATCTATTATTCCAAATGATCCTGATGAGTGTTTTGTTGCTAATTATTATATCAAAGATGATGATGCCGATCCATTATTTAGATTATTTGTTACAACCAAAAATTTAATGAAAAGTTGTTTAAATTCAAATCATGTATGTGCAGATGCAACTTATAAATTAATATGGCAGGGCTATCCTGTATTGATTGTGGGTACTACTGATAAACAGTGTGCTTTTCATCCATTTGGTATTGCGTTATGTATAAATGAACAAACTAATGATTTTGAGTTCATGTTTAAAAGTGTCCAATTAACTGTCGAGAAATTGTTAACTGTTGAGAAATGTCCAGCACTTTTCAGCAGGCGTTAATTGTACCATTTCACAGTTTCTAAATCGAATCAATAAAGTTTCAGTATTACAAACAATTAAGTGTCATTCGAATAAAAACAATCTTCGATTTCTGCAACATCACAAATTATTGAAAACGATTCAGAATGGTTCAAATTTATTCAATTCATCTATTCTTACAAAAATAACCATTGAAAAAAAATTTTTGAAGCATATGAAGTTGCAATTAAACTTTTTGCTCCATTAAAAATCAAGCAACTACCACGAAATGGGCGAGTGATATCGATTACCGAAGTTAGTGAGTCTACCTCACGAGATTTCGAAAGATTCTGGTCCACAGAACTGGATGATATTAATAGTTCGAGTGTGAAGGAAGATAACGAGTCGGACGATGACCATGCTTATGATACAGAAAATAATTCTACAAATGATTATGAGACTGATGAAAAATTTGAACTGAACGATACTCTTGATGTAACCAATAACACAAACATTTCTTCGAATCATGGAATGCGATTATTCGACAGTATCAAGGAAGAACTCACACGGTTTTCAAAGTTATTATTAATAATGAAAATAAGTTTCTTCACAAACAAACCGCGTGCTGGATATTAGAAAAAGATAAAGTTTCACTATCTGCTGATCGATCGACTCGAGTGCAAGGTCGATAAAAATTTGTATTTCTTGTTCTACTCTGTTCAGCTAAATAAAGAAGAATTTGACATCACATTGTATGGTTTTTTTATGTAGTAATTTTCGTTTGCGAAATTCTAAAATCTTACAATATTTGCCTGATTATGCTAGTATCAACAGACACATTAAAACTTACTGAAGGAGACAACGAAATATAAACACTTCCTCACGGCTAGAAGTCAGTTACACTCATATGAAATCACCTGAAATCAGATGAAATTAATGAAATCACGGGAAATCATTAAAATCATCTGAAATCATCTAAAATCACTTGAAGTCAACGAAATCATTGAAATCACGAAATCAGGTTGCTCTCCCTTGGGTATTCCTGTGCATGTACTAAAATTGAAGAAGAACTGGGTAACGCGTTTTTCTGTAATAAGAACCAGTATGAAACACAGATATCATCGAAGCAGGTGTTATAATTGAAAGTTCAAAAGATAGTGTTAGTTTTAATGATGTGAGCAATTGATCAAAAAAAACCAAAAGATGAAACACAAGAAGAATCTATTTGAAGTATTGGTTTGATAGAGAATATCTTCTGTGACCTATCGTTGATGCTAAATTCAACAGACAAGTCGGGATGTGACAGTTTTTGAGAGAACGTTTACCATTCCCTGGAAGATGGTCATACTATCGAAAGCTTTGTTGTTTTTTCTTTATCAAACTAGCGAGTATCGCTGAAAACTCCTCAATTCAAATTTTTAGCTTATTCTTTCGTCCTAAATTCGTTTTTTTTCAGTATTTAATTAATTTCTTCAAAAAACTTATCAGATTTTTTTCGAATCATATCTCATTTGACAGAGCGCAACCGGACATTTCATTTTCATCCAGCCATATTCGGTGATTATACTGTTTGGTTAAATATTTGTATATTATATGTACTGATAGTTTATTATCCCAACTGTAGCTAATCATCGTATCGAATTCGTCTTTATCCTCAGTAACTGTAGTTGTTTCTTGCTGTTCACTTTTAAATACTTCTTCTTTTTCCGGTTTCCACAGAAGATCGTCTGCTGCTTTTTTTAGTTTCTACCAGTATGTGTTATTCTATTACCATCAATAATATCGCAAATATGATTGATAAACAGTTCATCTTTCTTTAACAACCGAGCTGCTTTTTCATTAATTGATCTTGTAAAAGAAACATCCCAATTCTAGTCACTGTATTTTTTTCAGCTGCATTATGAACTTCTCTATCAATATTTTGGCCCGCTTTCAATTCTTCTTCTATTTCATGTTCGATGTGTAGATCTGATATGCTCAAATCAGTTCTTGACTTTGTCATTGCTAGTTTCATCAATAATGGTAAGCCATCATCATCTTGAAGCTCACTTTTCAGTCGATCATTTTTTAATAATGCTACAGAAAAACAGTTTCTTAAGAAAGTACATATGAAATTATCAAGCATAGTGAACCAAAAAACCCAGATATTGGAGATGTGTGAGCACCTCTTCCAATTCTGGAATGTGTAATACTCAATAGATTGAATGCATAGTCTCATTTTTTTTTTGTTAGATCTATATAAGAATGAAGCTTCAATTACAATTATGTCGTTTTCTGGATATCTCTATATTTATTTGTCTTTCTTTAGTGACTAAATAAAAAAGATAAGCTATCACCAATATTCGTTATTGTCAATAAACCAAATTATATGATAATTTTAACCGATCAATGGTTCATTGTAAAAAAATAAATATATCAATTTAATTGCGTGCCAAAGAGGCAAGTAAAATATACAATTTTTTATAAGTAGCGAGGATTTTACTGCACCCGTCAAATCTTTCTAGTCTTTTTGGAGATGCAGATTCTTCTAAATAGTTTACTAATGAGATTGTTATCTGTTTTTAAGGATCATCAAACAAGTCTAACTAGTAAAGCGAATCTATCATTTATACCTTAATTAAAGAGAGCAGGAGAGGATCCGAACATCCAATGCAATAGTATCCGATAGTAGACGGGCATCATGACGTTCTTACTTTTTCAATTTTCAATTATTTCCCGACGAGCAGTGCTGTCATCCGTCTTTTACTCACTTGAGAACTACAAGTACTTGTATCGATGTCGTATCGTATGATGGAAGTATGGCTTGCAGCATACATATTGCCTCTTCAATCGAAACGAATGATAAAGTTAGAAGCGACAGTTGCTTGCTTCGCTATAATATCACCTGTCGAATCACCAACATTCCAACGAACAATTCTGAATTTATTTTATAAAAGTAAATGATCCATTTATCTTTATTTTATAAAAGTAAATGATCCATTTATCTTTATTTTATAAAAGTAAATGATCCATTTATCTTTATTTTATAAAAGTAAATGATTCCTTTATTCCATTGACTGTAAGTCTATGGTCATACGAAAAAAAGTTGGTCATTCGAAAAAGTAGAAAGTGTTTGTGTGTGTGTTTGTTTGTCCGTACAGAGGTGTGACGGACGTAAGCACACACGGTGACGGACGTACATACATATAGTGACCAGTGAGTGTGACGGACGTACATACATATAGTCACTGACGAGTGTGGTGGACATAGGTGCACATAGGTCGATGCGTTCGAGTTTTCTGTGGTAGCAGAGAAGTATAAGACTTGTCCTGGCTGCGAACGCGGA